AGTGGTGGACAGATTCAGTAAGTCTGGTCACTTCATTGCTATTGCACATCCTTACACTGTAGCTCTGTGTTTTCTGGACAATGCTTTCAGACTGCATGGTATGCCAGCTTCTATGGTAATGATAGATATCCCATTTTCTTGAGGTTTTTTTTGCAAGAGTTATTTACATTGCAGGCAGGAAATCTTACTACATAAATTTGCAGCATGCCATTCCAAAACTGATGGTCAAACAAAATTTCTTAAAAGAACCTTGGAGACATATTTGAGATGTTTTTGTTCTGATAGTCCTCACACTTGAGCTAGTGAACTATCTTTTGTTGAATGGTGGTACAATATTACATATCGTTCTACCTTAAGATGTACACCTTATGAAGTTGTATGATGAGATGGTTGATAGACCTCAGGTAGCTAGAGAGGTTTTGATAGCATTGCTCAAGCTCCATTTAAATAGAGCACAACAAAGCATGCATAAGGAATAAAGCTAACAAACACAGGTCTTATAGACAATTTATGGAAGGAGATTGGGTTTACTTGAAGTTGCAACTTACTAGTAAATTTCAGTGGTTTCTAGTCCTTTCAACAAGCTTGTTAAAAAGAATTTTGGTCCTTTCTAGAGTTGGTGTAGTAGCTTACAAGTTGTTTTTACCTGTTGATGTCCTTATTCATCTTGTGTTTAATGTCTCCTAGATGAAAAGGTGTTATGAGGTTCCTACTGTCTTTAATCATCTCCCCATGTTACATCTTTCAAGCCTTTATTGTCCCATTCCTAAGTCGATTTTGGAGAAAAGGATGGTCAATAAGGGTAATAAGGTCATGTGTCAAGTCTTGGTTCAATGGTCTGGCATGAATGCTTCTCATACTACTTAGGAGTTCCTATGTGAGCGCAACACATATTTCCTGCATTTCACCTTTGAGGACATGGGTGCTTTCCATTGGGGGTATTGATACAATGCTTTAGATAGTTAGAAATGTAAAAAATAGTTATTACTGATTTACTGTTATTAGAGTTTGTTAGAAATTGTTATTTTGTTAACTACAACATTAGATTCCAATTCATTTAATAGAGATATATTACAATTGTAAATCATAAATTGATATATGATATCTTCTCTTCTCTCTTTTACTTTTTACTTATTAGCTTCTATTTTGAAACTTCCTTGATATATCTATCTTCTTCTTTGAGGTTCATCCTCCGAGTTGATATTATCCTTTCGATTTTTGGTAATTGAATCACTTGTAGTTGTTCTATAGAACTTACCCTTAACTTTGATAGACACCCTTTTATCATATAACAATCTAATAACACTTCTCTTAGCTTTTTTTGTATCATTAAAAACTTCTCCATTTTCTGCTTTAGAATTTCTATAACACTTATTTGTTAGCTTCAATGACAATGTGTGCCTAGTCATTCCACTATTAAAGGATATGAATTCAAGTTATCAAAATAATTGATCTTATAGAACAAATATAGTAGGAATGTTCCTTCATTGATAAATATTTTCACAATTCGATAATTTTCGAAATAGGTCAAAAACATGATTTCTAAACACCTATGAATTATTCAATAACTACTCAACCCAAATCCTAACTAATCAACATGCATTCACATGCTCGAGCTCCATCTAAGAGAGGGAAGTCGTAGCCTACCTATAGGCCGATCACGCGCATTCCAAAATCACTTTTCCGGAGCTTTTTCTTTTCGATCAGCCTCATAACGCTGCTACTCTATTAAAAATAGAATCACAACATTACTAAAGTCGTTTTGACACTAAAACACAAGAAATACTTGTGATTGGTTACTTGGGCACTTTTCGTGAGCATTCGGTTTGAGGTTTGACCTCCGTACTGTTAGACTCTACTAATTGGGTTTGAGGTTCTGATTTGATGTTCTCTAGTCTTGGTTATGTTCTTTTTAGTTATAGTTATTTTTGTACCCGTTGGGCTTATGGGGGTCCGTTCAGGTTCTTATTCAAACTTGTGCACAAGTGTACCTTCTAGGTTTATGGAGGTCAAGTTAGGTGTAGTTAGTTATAGATTACTTTAGTTAGTTATTTCTACACTCGTATGCATTTCGTTGTTACTTAGACTTCTGCTCTTGACCTCTGTTTGTGATATTCCTTCTTTTCATATTGGGTACCTGTTGTTTTGGTGCTCATGCTACGCTATGCATCTATTTTTGTGATGCAGGTCCGAGCACCAGTGACCAACGTTCATATCGAGCTTGGAACATTTTGATCCGAAAAAAAGATGTGCATACTGTGTTTGGTACTATTTTAGTCTCTCTCTCTCTCTCTCTCTCTCTCTCTCTATATATATATATATATATATATATATATATATATAATATGAGTTATATTAAAATCATTATTATTTTTCCTAACATCACTATTATGTATTTATTTAAATTACTTCAATTTAAACATATTTTGCATAAATTATTCAAGTATTATCAAACTCTTATGTATTAGTAGAAGTTTTGTCAATTAAATAACACTTAAAAGCATTATAACACAAAAACAAAGAATTTTTTTCCATAATAATGCAAGTACATAATTACATAAAAATATTGGTCACATACCAAGTTCATTTGGACAACCATACCTGAACTCCAAAATAAAAAAGAAAAAACTTAAAATCATAATCTAACATAAAAAAGATCTAAAGAAATATATAAGTCATATCTTATATTGTTAAGTTTAACCGTTGAAATATATTGTAAGAAAGATTCTCTTGCTTCTCTTTTAATTTCAGAATGAAGCTATTTGTTCTTTTCCCCAGTTAATTCTTAACGACATATATTCATATCATAATCTAGGAAGAAGAAAAGAGAATAGTGGATGATAAAAAAGAAAAGAATGTGATTTAGGAAGCAATTAACTGGTATTTATAGTGATATTTGATTGCCTTTTCACCTACCAAAATTTTTAATGGGGCACATTGAATCATATGATAGATACATTGATTTTAGTTTCTAAATTCAAAGAATCACAAACTTTGAGAGTTTCATACATTATTGTTGGTAGATAAATTTGTGTTAATTTCAAAATTCAAAGAATCACAGAATTCGGAGAGTTCTATACATTATTGTTTTCTACTATAATTTAATTTAACATATTTAATTATAATTATAATGTCATAACTAAAAAATTAAATTGTAGTTGTTGGATTTCATATTCTACCATTATGTAATTAAATATTAGTATTTAAAATATAAATTAATTTATTTTGATTTAGTGAAGGGGCAAAATGGTAATACAACTTTGAAGGTTGGAGCTTCCCACTTATAATAATACTAGTTTCTGAGGACGTGCTTCGCACGTGTGTTTCATGTGAATTTTTATAGATACGTTAGAACGACTAAAATCTCATGAAAATATATATCTAAATTGTAATGAATAATAAAATGTAACAATTACAAAATTCAAAGACTTACGACAATAAAACATTCATAGAAAACTAAATTAAGAAGTCTAACATCATGAAAATATATATGTAAATTATAATGAATAATAAAATGTAACAATTACAAAATTCAAAGACTTACGGTAATAAAACATTCATAGAAAACTAAATTAAGAAGTCTAACAGAGTGAAAAAAGACAAAAAGAAATAGAATATTTAAGAAAAAATACAATATAGACATTATTCTTATAAGATTGATGTATATATAGATGTAAAAATAAGTACAAAATTAGTACATAACTCTTTGAGTTTTTATTGACTCCTCTATATAATAAAAATAATAGCCTAATAATCTTGGTAGGGGTTTCATGAGATAAAGAAGTTGAATTTATATAAATAGAATAGAAGGAATATCAAAAGATATCTTAAAGTATTAGTTTAAATATTTGGAGGTTATGAATATGAAAAGATGAGAGTTATGAATATTAAGAGTATAAAAGTTAAATAAGTAATTAGAAAATAATAATAAATAAATAAAGAAAATGAAAAAAAAAATTAAAGTTAGCAAATCATGTAAAAAGAACAACTAAAGTTTTTATCATGTAATTAAGCATTAATGAATTTAAATTTGTGAAGCTAGAGTCATTCTTTAATAATAATCAAGAGGACATTATCAATGCGCGTCTCCATTTTGTAGATTTGCACCCTTTAAATTATTAAATTTCGTTATTTATCATAAAGGATAATACTTTATCCACATCAATTATATTATTCATGAGGGGCGTTAAGGAAAAAGTTATAAGAAGGGGAAAATAAAAGAAATTTAGGTAAATATTTTTAAAAAAAATTATAACTATTATATACATACAGATTATAGATGAAAAATATTAATAGATTAGATATTTAATTAGGAATTATTAGGAAGTCTAAAAGTCATTAACATTTAATTAAATTTATACAGTCAAATATTTAAATATTTTATAACAATTTAATTTATAGAAAGGGTAAATCATAATTAAACTTTCAACTTTTTTGTTCATGCTTTTAGTAATATATGATATTATGATATAAATGATATGATATACGATGATAATTAAATATTAGTATTTAAAAAATAAATTAATTTATTTTGATTTAGTGAAGGAGCAAAATGGTAATTTAACTTTGAAGGTTGAAGCTTCCCACTTATAATAATATATGATATATACACTTGTCTTTAACCTTTCGAAACAGTTCAGTTTCCGTGGTCCGCTTTTAGGACGTTTACTCGATTTGTTAATTGTTAGTAGCTCTGTGCTAGTGACTTCCAGATTTTGAAAGGGATATATATATATATATATATATATATATATATATATATATATATATGTTTAGGTCTGCTTCCGCTTGTTTATATTGTTATTTTAAATTTTGTCTATTCTTGTTTTATTTCTGCCCTCAAACTCATTACTTGTTATTTCGAGTTACGGGTTGACTTACCTATTGGTGGATTATAGTAGGTGCCATCATGACTCGAGAATTACGTGGTGACAAATGTATTCCATCAAAAGTGTAAACATGCACCCAAAAGTTTCCAAGCATTCAATTGAATGAAATCATACTAACAAAAAGGACATGCTTGTGAAGTGCCAAGAATAATGTTCTATTCGATAAATACATTTGAATAATATTAAATTAAAGCATACAAGAAACAGAAAATTGATTCACAGTTGACGTGAAGATGCCTAAATATAAGGGGTACAACTAGTTACGTATTCCAAGGCATATAAAAAAGAAAAACCAATTAGCCCAAAGACTCAATTATGTGGCAATTTCTATCTTTCTTCTGCCTTTAGGACAATTAGTTACCTCAGAAAATTTCCAAGCAGCGATACAACAAAACCTATAAAGATCAGCTTCATTGTTTTCATCAACGATGGTGCACAAGAGAAATTTACTCTCCGAGCTTGGTCCCTGTGGAAGTGTGAGATACTGTAAGAGCACTTAATAACTGCAATTGCCAAGAAAGGATATACATTTCCCTACAGACACTAACATTCTCTACATTTTGAAATATTCAGTAGAAGATTCTTCTTTCACTAGTTTCTGCGAAAGATAAGAACTACGGAGAAAACTCACTTCCAGTATGACTAAGCAGTATAACAATATGAGATCAGACATATATCTTACTTCTGTAAAGGTGACAGTGCACCACAAAAGATGGTGTTAGCTGGAACTGGAAGCTCAGAGTTCTCCGGATTCACCACATTAATATAAGTTTCTTGACCAAGGTACCACGAGTCAAGGTTTTGAGCACGTAAATTCCAAATGCCAGGATTGTCTAGGAAAACTAAAATGGCAGTCCAAGCACCTGGAAACACCTGCAGGAGAGAAAACTTCCCTTTTGTTTATAAATGAAAAATTTTCACCAATACTAGCAGAAATTTCCAACGAGTTATGACAAAGAAAGCAATGGGGTGAGACCAATATTTTGTTTTGAAATAAATTTTATTTTTGCATACTTCGAAGCAATTAACATCTTGGTAAAAATTACAATAAATATTATGGTCGGTCACATATAAATTGGAAAGAATGAACCTCTATGTGGAATATCTGTTCAAGATAAGTAGACAGATATATTTAACCTGGGTAGTGCATCGAGCAACACCATCCCATTTGTTGTAGGTGCTTCTACTATTCTCCGTCCATAGCCCGTAGTCCATGCTATTGTCATTTTTGAGAATGAGAACTTCAGATCTTTCGATTCCAAACTGAAAACAAGTGATTCAAGCAACTGTATGAAAATACACTACTCACCCGACAACAAAAAAGGCGTAGCCATCAAGGTGATAGCTCTGAACAGTTGTGTCATTGTTTTGGAATATGATTTCCACGAATGCTTTGTAAGTACCATTAATTACTGACGTATCAACTTTTGCCGGCCTGTTCATCATTTTATTGGGGAAGTCAAGCTTGAAGACGCTTGGGATGTTAAATTGCTCAGCAAGTTTTAGAGGTGTTGAAGGCGCTAAGTATGAAATACCACTGAGAGTAGTGCGCCATTTCCCTTCTATTAGCTCTGCAGGCCTGTTATGAAGGACAAAGACATCAGTCACAGTGATTTCACCATATTTGAAGGATCCTTGGGGGTTTGGCCGTGCCGCACCAGCAGAAACATTCCATCTGCAAAATATTGCAATAATATTTTAGCTAACAGATACTTGAAAAACGAGAACCTCACATTTTTCTTTTGACTTTTATATTTTTCTGGGGAGGGGGTCGGGTTAGAGGAGAGTAAATATCCTGTATCTCTACTTTGGGTAACACATGTCGACAAATTGTTCGGTAAGAAGATGAACAACTTTCCATACCTAATGATGCACACAACTAACTAGGGGAGATAACATAATGTAGCAAAGAATAATTACACTTTCTACAACCTTATGGATCTTGCTTGACTCATTGAGAAAAATGTGTCAGATTCCATAGGAGGGTCTGGAAGAGGACCTGAAGCGGGTCCTTGCGAATTTGAGTAATGCAAGACAGAGACTCCTACCGACTTCGACGAATCAGAGGAATTAACAAATCGTGGACTAGCAACAATGTAATAATCACTGCTGCCATTCTGATCCATTGTAACAAGAAATGAATATGATTGACCGACGTGGATATCCAAGCTTGTGTAGTTCTGTTGTACTGTATATGAACCTTCAGTCTCCACAAGAAGAAGGTTATGACTTTGGATTCTGAAATTCAAGCTAGTTGAAACACCAACATTGTGTACTCGAAGGCGGTACGTTTTTCCTGTTATATATAAGCATGATAAAAGACATCTGTGATAAATAATGTAACTGAATGAAAATTCAGGTGCTAATATGTCACTTCCCAATGAACTACTAAGTGATAACATTCAGTTCTTATCACCATCAGAAGAACAGAGGAATTTTTCAAATCCTTGAGTCAAGTACAGGATCTCACACATAAAACAATTACAGTCAATAGACACTCTTAATTCAGATCTACAGACAAGATCTAAATCATTCGTATTTGCATTCAGATTCAGACGTCTTCATCTTAATGAAAACAAATGAGGCCTTAGATTCTGGTTAACGATTTCCTCAATCTGTCCTTGCACCCCATAAGTTCAAGCTTGAGTAAAGATACAGGTCAAGAATGATGATTAAGCAGAGTAACTTCCTTTAGATTGATTAAAGGAAAAAAGGTCAAATTTACCCTTCTACTTAAAATATAAGTAAGATTCATCCTCTGTTGTAGTATGTGGTCAAATCAAACCCTACTGTTAGCAAAGTTTTCAAATATACCCTCAATCTAACAGATTTCCCAAATTTCCCTTTTAATTACCCATAAATCAAGCCTTGCTAAATCCAAACAATGGAATTTCGTGTAGTAATCTATTAGTTAAGCCTTTAAAATGCACCTCAAATAATCCTCCATCGATAATAATTACGATTAAACTTGAACCAAAAGTGCCATGCAACGGAATGGAAAAATGTTAAGGTATTAAAATCCGACTATGTACTGAAACAATGCAGATAAAGCCCCAACGAGAAAGAAGAATGTAATAACCTGATTCTACATTAACTGTCTGGTAGCTTATACCGCCTGATACAACAGCATTATCATAATGGTAAGGACCTAGTCCATTGATTAGGATACCATCAGGAGCTCCAAGGCCAACTCCAGTTTCGATTTCTTTTCTGAGTTCCTAATGCCCAAAGCTTTTATAAGTGAGCCACAAAATTGTTAAGGATCTACTTTTTACAAAAATAGGCTGACCTGTTAAAATTTGCAACTAACCTTATGACTCTTTATAAACCAGTCACTAATAAAGAGTGTGATGTCCCCATCTGGTGTCGCAAACGGCAGTGGAATGACATTTCTGTTGTTAATAGTGATACCTCCATATCCACCAGCAGCTCTCTGGAAGCGTAAGGAAGGGAAATAAAAGAAACTGCCTATCTGATCTTTAACTTGAAATTCATATGTCCAATTCCAGCTAGCTGGAATGGGACAATTTGTGCCAGATACACCATCTTGCCATGTATCCTTTCTCTGCTGAATGCCATTCCTGCACTTAATTATCATATTTACGTTCATTACGGCATCTAAGCGCTTGTAGATTTATCATAGTGGATTTTATGGATTACCATGTAAGAAGCATAGGCTCATCAAGATCATTTTTAACATTGACAACCACATTCCAGTTGGTAGTAACATTCAGAATGGGTCCTGGAAATTGACCGTTTATCCCAATTACCTGAAAACATATAAATCTTCATATATAATTACAAACAAACATGGGAAAGCTCGGAAAGGTTGCAGCTAATTCTCCTAAAGAAAAGATCTATGATGGATTTCATAAATGCATCTATAAATAAAGGAATCAGAAACAGGAAAGCCAGAGTTAGACATGATATTAAGTGGTGGGAAATAAATCAACCAAAGTATTCTGAACCTAGCTGTCGGAACATGACAGACATAGATCTTTAAAGCAAAATATGAAGTTGTCCAGCTGTCAACATGTTGGCTGCTATAATCCCACACTTAGTCTTCAAATTGTAGATTGTTGGAATGAAGCGCAAATATTTGAAAACTAGATACTGACCAAAGAAAACAAACAAAGAACTTGCTGATCACCCAAACAACTCTTTACAATGTGTCAACACTCGTGAAAGTCAAATGTTAAACCGAACTGACTTGCACATAGTACAGTAGCAACATAAGTAAACTGGATTTAGCTATTGACTTAATAAAAACATAAGTCTGTACAAGAACAGGACAGAGTAACTGGTCAATGATCACCTAAAGAACACCTAGGATTTATTTTAAAGTTCAATAAAAATCATAGGTCATAGGAGTAGTTCAAATTAGCAACAGCTTTAAGCACTTCAAAGTATGAAACAGCGTAATGTATGAAATGGTGAGATTCAATTATTGATATAATATGACACGTGGACCTAACTCAACCTAAAAACTAACTCATGAAGGGAGGATTGCCCAAGTCTATATTAAGGAGACCATCAGTCCATTCACCAACCAATATGGACTTTTACCCACTCTAACACCCCCTTCACGCCCAAGTTTGACCGGAGCATGGATGAGAGCCCAAACAGGGATGGACTTGGACACAGATATCATGTAAAGATATGACTCGTGGAACTAACTCAACCTAAGAAGATTACCAATCCATTCCAACCAATGTGGGACTTTTACATGCCCTAACACCCCTTTCACACCCAAGCTTGACTCGAGCGTGGACCGAGACCCCAAAGTCCCGAATGGGGATGAAGTTAATGACACCTGAAACTAATTCAACCTAAAAAACTAGCTCATGAGGGGAGGATCACCCAAATCTATATAAGGAGGCCATAAGTCAGTTCACCAAACAATGTGGGCCTTTTACCCTCTCTAACAGAAGAGACCCTTCAAATCCAGTATAACAATACAATTTTCTTGCAATCAAATCCAACCACAAAAAAAAGAAAAGAAAAAAAACCTATAGCAATTCAGCATCTGAAAATGGGCAGGAACCCAAAATTAGGTATTTTACACATATGTAGCCCTTAAAAGGCTAAGGACAAACTTAGTGAGATACCTCTAGAGAATGCATTTTAGTGACAAATCTTGTAAAATTCCAGTTCCGATTGCAAGCAAAGGAATTATATTAAAGTTGGGTAAGTGCAGTTTAATTAAAAGTAGAGTAGTAAAAAGGAAGTTGATCCAATATATGGATAGAAAAAGAAAGAAAAGAACCTGCTGCTTAATTCCAAGAGGAGAAGCTGTAATGTAGGAAATAGTCCAGTCAAAATATACATAAGGGTCTTCTGCTAAACAAAGTGTTGTGAAGCAGAGAAGATAGCAATAGTATGATAACAACATACTATTATTATTATTTATGCAGCTGTCTTGTTATGATGGGTATCCGTAGCTTCGGGATCTTCAGTTTCTTACTTTAGCTTTGCTGCTTCTTGTTTCAGTATGTACAAAAACATGTGATGTAGCTTGAGGGTTTGAAGAAGACAGCTTCTATGTCTGAAAGGGTAATGTCAGAGACCCACATTTTTTTTTCGACCTCTGAAATTCATATTGTGGTTCGAATTAAATCGGAATTGCTAACTATAAATTCATTCAGGAATAGCGCTCCATATAACATATATTTTCATGTTCCAAACTCGAATTCGAAATATCTAATTAAGAAGAATAATGGTTAAATATGCTCCTAAATTATTCGAAAAGATTTAGATATATCCTTCATTTAAAGTTTGGTTCACTCATATCTTTATTGTCCAACTTTTGGTCTGAAGATGTGCGTCAGTTTCCATGTTGGACATATCCAACTCATTTTTTTATTTCTTTAAATGTCACATGGAATTGTCATGTCATTTTTACCTTACCACATGACATTTATATGAAAATGGAAAGATATTCAGACTCATAAACACCATAAATCAACTCCTTTTAAATTTACTATTTGACCCATTTTTAACAATTTTGTTTAATTTTTATTTTTTCGATAAATCCCGAAAATGAGTAATTGATTAATAAAAAATAGGAAAAATATGAAAAAGTATAAAATTAACGCCAAAAATTCACAAATAAATATAGTAACCTTAAATCCAACATTTTAATATATTTTTTTTAAATCTTTTTTATTTTTTCGATAAATCTCGAAAATGAATAATTTGATTAATAAAAAATATGAAAAGTATGAAAAAAATATAAATTAACACCAAAAGTTCACAAATAAATACAGTAACATTTCATTCTACAATTTTTTTAAAATTTTTATTTTTTCTACAAATTCCGAAAATGAGTAATTTATTAATAAAAAGGGGAAAATATGAACAAAAATAAAAAATTTACGTCAAAATTCACAAATAAATATTGTAACCTTAAACTCAATAATTTCAACAGCTTTTTTATTTTATATTTATTTCATAGTTTCCTATTTTTTATTTTGTGAATTTTTTACGTAATTTTTATATTTTAATAAATTCATTTTTGGAATTTGCCGGAAAAAATAAAAATGAAAAAAATGTTGAAATTGTTGAATTTAAGGTTAATATATTTACTTTTTAATTTTTTGGCGTTAATTTATATTTTTTTCATATTTTTTATTAATCAATTACTCGTTTTCAGGATTTATAAATTTTTTTTTAAAAAAAAGTGTTTAAATTGAATTTAAGGTTACTATAATTATTTGTGAATTTTTAGTGTTAAATTTATCTTCTTCTTTTTTTCTTATTCTTCCTATTTTTGTATTAATCAATTACTCATTTTTGAAATTTATCGAAAAAATAAAAATTAAATAGAATTGTTGAAAATCGGTCGGATAATTTATTTAAAAGTGAGTTGATTTATGGGTCGGATTAAGTGTTTATGAGTCCAAATATCTTTCCATTTTCTATAAATGTCATGTGGTAAGGTCAAATGACATGACAATTCCATGTGATATTTAAATAAATGAAAAATTAGTTGGATATGTCTAACAAGTCAACTAACGCCGATAAAAACATATTTGGACCAAAAGTTGAACGGCGAAGGCATGAGTGAACCAAACTTTAAACGGATGATATAATTAAATTTTTTCGAATAGTTTAGAAGTATATTTGATCCTTTTCCCAATTAAAAATGAAGCAACTGCATCACAATCTTAAGTTTGTGGACCCACATCTCTTTACTAGTTGGAAACTACAAAATGAAATCCAATTTTTGAAAATTTAGTTGTCTTTCTTTTGCTTTTCAAAATTGAATGACACACTACATTTTCCGGACCTGCAATATTCGAGCACCATTACAGATTTTTTAAAAAGTTTTTTATTTTTTAATTATTTATTAGTGTCTAATATATCCATATTAAAATTCGATCAAATTTAAATTTACTCATTTTCAGAGTATAACTCCCTAACAAAGTCTCCAGCTCTTCTTATAGGATGGAGGGGTGGGGTGGGTAGGATTCAGACGCGGAATCAGATCTTTAGGTGGGATGCATCTGGTAATTTAGATTTTTTTTTTATAGAAATTAAGATATAATTAATGATGCATTCATGAAAAATATAAAAACGTTATTGACTCATTGTGCGGTTGTACAAGCTAGAGGAAATACCAGCGAGACCTGAAATTCGAATCCAGCTATAATGTTATTTTACTAATTTTATTTTGATATTTTTTAAAAATTCATATTTAAACTAAGATAATATGGATAGAACTAAAATTTTAAATTGTAGTTTCGCATTTGGTTGGGATGGTTTTCCAGATAATATTAGGGGAGGGTTTTTCATTAATCATTGATGCTGTTGTGAAATCCACTTGCATTATGGATGTCTTTTTTCTTTTAGTAGCAAATTCAAGTTAATAAATTTGCACGAATATTTTTTCATCACAAGATTTTTGCAACTTCTGTTACAACTTCTTTGTGTGATTGTTACTTATGGTATTTTTTATATTGTTTGTTTAAATATTATTTTTATTCTAATCATCGTAAAATTTATTGTTATATAATGTTACGAAATCTTATTTAATATAATAAATATGATTGTGTTGTCTTTAGTTATGATCTAACTAGCTTCTAAAAATATGCTTTGCACATTTATTTCAAATTATATCATATAAATTTTATATTGTAAATTATAAATAGTAAATAATGCATATATTATTGAACTTTCTATGTGCTGTAAAATTTCCTATTCATTTTTTCGTAGGAAATTATAAACCCATAATTTAGCTTTTAAAATGCATACTCTTTTCTCAGTTTATCATATTTAACTTTTAATAATCAAACATTACTTTCACTTCTTTTAAAAATATATTTGTATATACATAGTATTTTCATGTATATATCTTAAAATATATAATAATACTTTTCTTGTACAATTTGATTTTGTATAAATCTATCTCCTCTATTCTTTTCTAATTTTTTCTATTTTGTTAAAAATAAGTAAAGTAAAAAACGAAAAAAGACTAAGGTTCTGTTTGGAAATTAAAGTCACCCAGTAATTGAAATTGATCTAATTACTAGAGAAGTAATTATCAGCTACACAACTTAATAATTGCACTGATATGTTTGTTTATCATGGTGTGATTATATACATGTACAGTTTGGATGCATAATTGCAATAATAAGATTATATCAAGTTTTATAAACGAAACTTAACTATTTAAAATTTATATTAGAAAAATAAGAAATTTTATAAATGTTATTAAATTAACTATTTAAGATATATATTGTCACTTGTAAATATATTAATTAATAAACATATGTTCTTCAATAATATAATGAAAAAATAATCGTTGATTTATATTTTTTGAATTTATATATTTCAATTGAATTAATCGTAAAAACTAAAGGCACGAGCATTCTATGAACATCATGAAATGCATGTTTGAAAAAAAATAATTAATATTATAAATTGTCATAGATTATTAAAATATTTGATAAGAAGGTAATTTTGTTAAGTCTAATTAAAAAAATAAATATATGCGTTGCGATGTTAAGTCTCGAGTCAATATTACTAAAATAAGTGAAACTAAAAATATTCTAAACTGAAAACAAAAAAATTAACCTATATTTTTATGTCAAATTTCAACATAACATACATAAATATGATTTAAAAGAACAGAAAAACCTACGTCTATAATTTTACGCAACAATAAATTCTTTTTTAATTTAAAAATTAGAATATTAGCAAAATTATGTTGATGAAATAAATAAACATGGCATATATATATATATATATATATATACATATATATATATATACATACATACATATATATATATATATACATATATATATACATACATACATATATATATATACATACATACATACATACATACATACATACATACATACATACATACATACATATATATATATATATATATATATATATATATATATATATATATATATAAAATTGCATAGAATCACATGAAGTAAAGGTTGCAAATGAGAAAGAAATGAAATATAAATAACATACCATAAAAATAAACTTTTAGAATTATAGAAACAAGAAAATAACTTGAAATAATAGAAATAGAATATAAATTAAAACATAAAAAATAAAAAGAAGACACTAAAAGTAATCAACTTGTAATTACACTAATGTAACTACCAACAATTCATAGCCCTTTCTTGAAAATCGGAGTGTGTAACTACCCCCGACCAATTACCCCCAATTACCTGCTAACTAAGTAACTACATGACCAAACAAAGAGGTCAGACGGTGTAGTTACACCCAATTACATCAAATCCAATTACTAGTCTGACTTTCCAAACATGTGTTAAAGAAAAATAGAGTTGTAAATACAAACAAGCAAACATAAAAGATATGTTCACTTTGAAGAAATCTTTTGGCAACAAAAAAATGGTTGTGACTTATTTGATGAGAAAGATAGGAATACTAAGTTCTTTCACAGTCTAGTCAAGGTAAGAGAAAGAGACTTCATGTACAGAGGATTCAAAATAGATAGGGGAAATTTGTTGGGAAGGATATTCCAAAATTGATTCACTCAGAAAAGAGATGCAACATCTTTCTCACTTCTGGATCATATTCAGAACATAATTAGTGCTGAATACAATATTTTTTTTTGCCGACAACCTAGCATAGATGAAGTTAGAAGATGAATGTTAACTTAAATGGTTATAGTGCAAGTGGTCTTGATGGTTTGAAATGGATGTTCTGTTAATGTTAATGTTGTTGGGACATTATTGGAACGTACATCTATGGTATGGTTCAAGAATATTTTAATGGCAACACTCTTCCCCAATCTGTGACTCACACTAATTTGGTTCTCTTACAAAGAAGAAAACTATTCACAACTTCCCTAACATGAGACTTATTAATTTAGTAATTTTATAATAAAATTTGTCCAGAATTATGCATGATAGAATAAAATCATCGTTATCCAAGTTAATTTCCAACTATCAACCAGATTTTGTCGAAGAGACTAGTATCATTGAGGATACACTTCTCACACAGGAGATTGTTAATCATACTAAAACAAAACAGAGAAGCCAGGAAATGTGGTTATTAAACCAGAAATGATCAAAACTTATAATAGAATATCTTGGTTCTTCTTAATGAA